ATTTAACTCCATTCACCACAACTCTCTGGGCTCGGCCATCCAGCCAGTTTTTAACCCAGCAGAGTCCACCTGCCTAGGCCATGAGCTGCCAGCTTCTCCAGCAGGATGCTGTGGGAAACATTGTCAAAGGCCTCACTGCAGTCCAGGTAGACAACACCCACCGCTTTTCCCTCATCCACTAGATGGGTCACCTGATCATGGAAGGAGATCAGGCTGGTCAGACAGGACTTGCCCTTCATGAACTTATACTGGCTGGACCTGATCCCAGTTGTCCCACGCTTGTGGTGTGATCTCCCCCAAGATGAACCATTCCATAATCTTCCCCGACACTGAGGCCAGGCTGACAGGCCTGGAGTTACCTGCATCCTTCTCACACTGGCAAGTCTCCAGTCATCTGGGACCTTCCCTGTTAACCAGGACTGCTGGTAAATGATGGAAAGAGGCTTGGCAAGTTCTTCCACCAGCTCCCTCCGCACTCTCGGGTGGTTCTCATCCAACTCCATAGACTTGCGGGTGTCCAACTGGCTTTGCAGGTCATTCACCACTATTTTCTGCTTTATGAGGGGATTATTCTGATCTCTGTCCCTTTCTTTCAGCTCAGGGGACTGAAAACCATGAGGATAATTGGTCCAGTTCAGATTCTAGACATATGTATTTTCTAGTTATCTAATAATTCTAAGCGAAATCCCAACACTGGTCACACTTCTTGCCAAGAATACAGTAGTTTATATTAAGATGAAGTGCCTAAATTCCTGGACAGTTACAAGCTAATGCCAGAAACATTTCTTGATTGTTTCTGGATCACTTTTTCTAATGTACACTAGAGGGCAATCTGTTTCTTCCCAGGGGAGGCTGAAGCTCCGGTGTTGGCTAGTGGCAATTCATACTGGAATATAGAATTAGAAGCTAACTCTTGTACAAATTATTGCCCTACTTGAGTTTAATATGAATCTTAACCTAGCTGTCACTTCAGAAGCTTTGTAATCGACAATTGTTTTGATTTTAGTGTGCTAAGTAGGAGTTTTCTTCCGTGGTTTGAGTGTTCTCAAACCCTGTCAGCTAAAATCATCAAGTTCTGACATGTCTCAGTTCCAGTAATGGCACAGTCTGAAGCAATGACTGTCAGCACTTGTCTGTTTGAATCCTTGATCTTATTCTGGAACTCAGAAGAATAATTGACCATCTATGTTTGATAGCACAACGTTATAGTATTAAACAAAAATAAATGCATTTTTATGCTGTGCCTCTAGAGTGTATCATATCTGCCTGCTAGACCCCAGAGCATGAATGTTATTGTCCTAAATCAAACATTTAACAGGCTACTCATCTAAGGTGGAAATTTCTATTCCCGTGTTAGAATAGGTATATAAAAGTATCTGTGGGGAAAACCTTGATACTTTATATATTTTTGCTAGGTTCTTTTTTATACTACCTAACTTGGTACATGATTTCATATAATGACATAAGAACAGTCCAATAATAAACATTAGCAACTCATCAGTTGTAATGAGAAGACCAAAGACTCTTTGTCCATCTTGGATTTTTTTTCCATACATATACTGCTTTTTCTCTCCATTATGATTTTTGTTTCTGAAGACTTTCTGACTTAAGAGATCAAAATATATTCCAGTGAAGGTGGCTCTAGTGTGATGCTGGATAGGTTAATCTTACTTCCTCAGTGCAGTAATTTTTGGCACTTATTATAATGTATATTTGGAGATGATGGTATTATTTTCACTTCATAAAACAATATAAAGTTCCAAGTTTGAGACTGATTCCATAAAGGCAGACTGTAAGTATTTTCTCCAAAAATACTGGTGAAAAGTTGATCTAGAAATGTGCCATAGTTAGCTTTCATTCATGAGAAAGGTTATATGATTGTGTTGTTTATATGTGAGCTGTTGAACTTCTTTCCTCTTTTCTTGCCCCTAACCCAAGAGGGTTTTTTTAGACAAATTTGCCAGAGATGCAGAAACCTTTAAGTGGAAGTTCCAAGTTTCACTGAAATCGAGAAGAATCTCTTCGTGTTTTCACCTTATTTCATACCAGAGAATGCAGAGTAGTGTCCTTAGGAAGACATGTCATTAGTTTAATTGCCCACAGAACTGTTTATCTAGTTAAAAAATACAAGGGGAACACAAGAACTTAATTGCCTGTTCGGGTTGTTTGGTGTTTTTTTTATTCACTAATAAGTTCAAGATAGAAAACTTAGATTAAATTTGATTTTAAACAGTTTTAGCTGATGGGATTTTTCTGTAGTGGAGAAGGCACTTACCAGACAGGAAGGAATTACAGTACTGTATGTGACATTGTCTAAGTCCTGTCTGCACTTGACATGACAGAGCTAGATGGCAGTATGGCTGAAGTCTTAGAGACTTGGAGCAACACTTGAGATGTTTTATAGTATATTCTGATTTGTTTGCCAGGTTGGAACTTCAAAACATAAAGGATGGTAGCTGTCTTATGGGCAGGATATAAATCAAGATAGTGAAATGTTATGTTTCTGTAGCTGATGAGACATTGTAAACTTTGGGCCAGAAATTAACTAAATTTTTGTTTTTCCTGACATTCACAAAATTGAGCTAGTAATTTTGAAAACATAAAGCACTCAGCCCATAGGCTTAAAGCACCCTGGATTGTACGTAGCAAGGCTGGAAATAAAATACAGTTTGCTTGTCAACCTCTAGATGTAGTTTACTGTTAAAGGCTTAAAAGCAATGCAGAGCTTTCTAGAAAAATCAGGACAAATAACTTTTAGAAAAAAAGGCAGAAAATGTGAATTTTCTCATGTTTTGAAATAGTTCTGAAATCCTTTTTCCTAGAATATGGAGTGTGTTTTGAGGAAGGGGGTTGGGGGTTTTGGTTTGGGTTTTCGGTTTTGTGGGTTTTGGTTGGGTTTTTTTTTGGTTTGTTTGGTTGGTTTTTAACTCTGTTAAGCCAGGGGCAACCTAAGCTAACAGGAAGCCATTGCTGTAATAGGGGAATGGTACCAGGAGGGAAGTGGACTAATCCCTCACCTGTAATGTTTGTCATTCAGAAACTGAAAGCAGACTGAAAAGCTGTTACATCCTCTTAAGTCCTCTTCCCCCCAGTTACCACAGGATTCTTTTGGAGTGCATTGCTCAGGGTTTCTTCAATGAGGAGTTAAGAGGCTGCTTGTTAATTAATGCAGTAGATTTCAGTGGTCGGCAGCTTAACTTACTTTTTTTTTGGCCTAAATTTTCCTTTTGCTTCTTTTTATTCCATCACTACTATTTAAAGTTCTTCAGGACCTTAACAGTGTTAGTCTTCATGTTTTATATTTCAGATACTTTTAGAGACTCAGATCTCCCTCTTCAGCCTTTTCATAAGGTGGAATATGGCTGCTTTTACACTGCAGCTGAAACAGTAACATAAGGATGTTTTCATCTGTTCTATAGCTTGTGAATTTCTGTAAGGACTTTGTCACTTTTTACACCACATTCAGTGTGCCTGAAGTGAGTGACATTTCTGTGGGAGAATTCCAACAAAGCTGAAATTGTCAGTAAAGTGCTGTTGATAGTTAGGACATGCTCAGCTAGCAGTAGCATACACTTCACTCTTACAGGTAGACATTTTGGGATCACTAAAACACAAGTCCATAATTTCCTTGGATGTTGAAGATCCTTTGGTACTTCTGATTTCAAAAGGAGGGGGAATGATGGGACAGGAAGGTAGTTCTCTAGCCTGCCTAGAGTCTGAATAATATTAGGCTGCAGACCACAAATCACTCTGTAATTTTAAAACCTAAAAAACCTCATTCTTTTAATAATGAATGCTTAACAGATTTAGAGCACAACAACCCAAAGATTGTTTCCAACTGAGTCTTCTGTATACAGCTATACACTGCTGCACATTTCTCTAGGTGAAGGAAGTTATTTAAGTATTTGGTTAAATCAATAAAAGAAAAGGTAGCCAGGTTTTTTTTTGATGGTGTTAACTGTTGCTACCATGTATTAGTATTTGTGTCTAAAGAAAATTTTGACTAACAATGAAACTCAGAGGGCTTATCATTAAATAGTTAGGAGTGCATGCACCTTTTAATGTCAGATATTTTGGTTGTTTACCTGCATAATTCTCTTCTCCAAAGGAGTACTATTTAAATCATAACATCAGAAAAAGCATTTTTGTTGGGTTTTTACCTATTCCAAAATTCAGTGTTGTTTCCAAATAATATATTTTCATGCAGTAATTGAATGTTGACTCCTTGTGTCATTCCAGGAGGTGGCAGAAAGAACGTTTGAAGGACAAAGAACATCAAACAGCTGAGGAACTTTCTGAAGACAGTGACACTGAATTTGATGAGGGTTTCAAAGTACCAGGATTTCTCTTCAAAAAGCTTTTTAAGTATGTATTGCGTACTTAATATTATGCTGCTGTATGCTGTTAATAATATTAGCAATAATAGTCATGGTGACTTCTGGGAGCCCTTTGGTGTAACTCTTACTTCATTGAATGATGCCTCCACTTTTACTTCAGTTGTTTTCTATAGGATTGTTTCTTTAAAAAAGACTCCAGGATCAAATTTTAAAGAAACTAATTGGTAATAAGTACAAAATGCAATTACATGAAAAGAGACATGGTAACTGGTTGATGTGAATATTGTGAATGAATATTAGTTAAACTATGAATTGAAAAGCTCTCTCCTTGTCTATTTTTATAAATGTTTTCTTTTATTGATAAGTGCTTGCTTTTAATTCAGGTGTGGAGTGGTACTTTACTTTGAAGAATAAAGTGCTGGCAAATTGTCATAAATGAGAACAAGAAATGTAGCTAGCTGTTCCTGTGATTGGTTGAGCTGAGTGAAATTTTCTGACAGTAAAAAATACAGACAACTTTTTCTTTAAGTTACTACTAAAAGTAACTACTAATATTTAATATTATAAAATAGTCTTGAACATTTTTCCCAGTAAAATTTTAAAATATATACAATGCATTTGTAGTTCCTTTAGTAGATGGAAAATACTCTACAATTTGTTCTTCAATTATTTAATACTGGATTACAGATTTAGACATACTACTTTCTGTTTCATTTTTTTGAGACCATAGGTGCCCAGTGACACTTCCAAGTTCATCTGAAAAAGCTATTTACAAAAGGCAGCCCAAGCAAGCTAGCAGCTGACAAGTTACTTCATCCAGAATCTCTCCCTTAACTTCCATATGCAATTGCTTCGAGTTCATTTTTGTTGGCAACATTTTTCACAGCAGGAAAAACATCTCTTTCAAAAGCTAACCCTCTAAAATATTATAATTGATGTAGTAGAAAACCCTAGTTTATAATGAGCGTGCCTGGTATCCCTTCCAACAAGACCACTTAGTCTTAACCTCAAAGAAGTTATTACTGTTGTCCTGCAGTTCCTCAGAAGGAAAGCACTAACTCTAAAATGGAACTGAATTAATGACTTGGCTGTGTATGGTCCTGGCAACCAATATGTGGACTCCAGTTGTTTATGCAAAGGTACTGCAGAAGCAATCATCCTGAGAACGGATGTGTGGTCTGAACAACCCAAAGGGAATTGAAATAAAGCACACAACTAAAAATTAATCTTAGAGATACCATCCTCACTAATGAAGGGTATCCCTGCAAGCATGAGTCAGTTGACTAAACTTCTTAAGTGGTTAGAAAGATCGATTGCATTGAATAATTTGTCTGACGTGCAACTTAAATGCTGAAATCTCCAATGTAGGAAGGCCCATAGTCAATAGTCATTAAACTTTGAGTTCTGAGCAAGTTTAGTACAAAACATGGAAGTATATTGACCCAAGGAGGTGTATAGCAGTGTGCTGTAAGTGGTCATCCTGCATAGTTGAATTGAATTCCAAAGAAGTTAGCTCACACTAGGAATAGTAGATCCTTAAGTTTAATCTTTGGTAAGCCTGTTAAAGTGGAGAATCTATTTCTTCCCTATATACTTGTCTGCTTTGAGGAACATTCAGCAAGAATACTGTTGTTGCTCCTGTGGAACAAACCCAAACATAGCGAGCGAGACTGACTTAAAAGCATTGCCCTTACACTGTGTGCACTTAGCCTGAGAGAAAGCTGTCTGCATAAACAAGAAACCAGGTTTCTTCAGTATTCAGTGTGTGAGTTCTCTGATATGTCTAAAATGCAGTTTTGTTGCAGCAACAATGCAGCTAAACTCTGCTAACTACTGTGGTGAATTCTGAGAGATGTATCATGGCATGATTGCTCATGTGAAATACAGTCCAAACAACTATTCTGGAAGACCAGGCAACATTTTAATTTACTGCTACAGCATTTTTGGAGTAAAAAAAAAAAAAAAAACCACAACTAAAAACTCAGTGCAATGAAAAGATAAGATAAAAGAGAATTGATTATCTCTGTATATAACCATAACAAATTATGGGTGGAGATTTTTTTTTTATACTTTAACTATTGTTTAGTTGCAATTTTTGCACCTTTATATGATGACACAAAGAAAGCACCTACATATTTTCCATTTTTAGATTGGAGCAGACTTATTCATGAACTTAACTCTCTACTGTGAAACTTCCCAGGAGAATCAGGGAGAGGGAGAAAGATGCTTGTAAATGTAGCTGGCTTTTAATGACTGGATGTCATCATAAGAAAGAAAACAAAATAATATCAGGAAGTTCTTGAGTGGTTGTCTTATAAAGACACATGCTGAACATTAGGCTGGGGGAGCTGCTCCTACTGGAATTAAGGTTCTCTCCAGTTCTGTAATATTTCCATCCAAAAAATGTTTTATCTTTGTAAAATGCAGTAATAGTAGCATCTTAACCCAATTACAGGTAGTCCTGAAAGCCATGATATAGTTGTTTTCAGATTGCTGCATTTTTTAAGGTGAATTAATTTCTAGTAAAGCAGGTTTTTTTAAGGGCTTCTTGGCATAATGCATTTGTGACAATAGCAGGTAGTATGATATCTGAACCCCTGAATTTGTTCTTAGATCATCTTTTTCTAACTACTTAAGCCATTGCTTTATCTCCATTTATCATTCTCTAAATCCATACAGAATTCATCATGAATTGTTTTTTAATAGCACTTTATAGTACTAGTGTCATTTGCTGTCAGTTTTTATAAATATTATTTGTTCAAAGAATGATTTTGAAATGCACATAAGACAAAAAAAAAAAAAGTGTTTGATGTGCTCTGCACTCCAGGAATGCATGCCATTAAGAAAATTATCTCAGTAAACTTTTTATTCTTGTAAGTTACAAGACACAGAAGTGCTAAAACATGGGGTTTGGACTTTTTTTTTTTTTTTTTTTGGTTTGGTTTGGGGTTTTTTTTGTCATTTAAATGTACTGTTTATTCATTTGTTTCTCTTCTGTTTTCAATTTAACCCACACGTGGTGTGTTATTACTACTGGTCTCACTATTTGGTATCATAAGAAAGCATGTCCTAAAGTGATTCTCAGTTCACCACCTTATCTCCACTTTTTTAACTTGCCACTGTAGATCTTTCTTGCTAGTCTACTTTTAATTGAAGTGTGTTTTACATTGTTGCTTATAAAATTTCTAGTGAATGGCTGGGAATAGGAACTGCCCTGACACTCTCATGTAATAACACTCTGCATCCAATTCACTGGAGTAGTTTCTGGTTTATTTTGCAAAACATTTTGCCTTGTTGGCTTTTTCTCTTCACTGAAAGAGACTAAATGTTATTAAATGAATTTATGTGACAAGAAAGGATGCTTTGGCAGTTGTGATCAGCTTTCACAGTGGAGTATAAGCGCTGAAACCCTTACAAGTCAAGCTTTTCCTTCAGTTCAAGGTGTATATTCCAAATAATACAATTTACTAGACCCCTACATGTCATCTTTTCTGGAAAGATAATGCTTTGTTAGAGTAGCTTTCCAAGTTGCTTTTAACACTTAAAATATACATGAAATAAAATACCCTCTAATTACCATGACTATCAGTTTAATTAGAAATGTTTTAGTGGCGCATAAAGAATGAAAGTCACATGTAATGTCTGAGTGCATCAAAAATGTATGACCTAGTAAATACAGCACTCATGTAAAACACACATCCAGCATGTTGTTACAACTAGTATAAGAACCTTGCCAAATGATTAATTCATGAGTACTTTCTGTTATGATCTGTATTATCTAACGTTCTCCATTTTCTTCTTTCTTGTTTCAGGTACCAGCAGACAGGTGTTAGGTGGCTCTGGGAATTGCACTGCCAGCAGGCAGGAGGAATTCTGGGAGATGAGATGGGATTGGGCAAGACCATCCAGATAATTGCCTTCTTGGCAGGTCTGAGCTACAGCAAGATCAGGACTCGTGGTTCAAATTACAGGCAAGTGCTCCTCTGCAGACTGTCAGTCTGTAGAGCTCAATTAATATTTCATCAGATGTATTGCTGGTGGAGGAGGGTCCTGTGAATTATTAATGACATTTCAATTACAATATTCCTTTAATTCTTTTAGTGGGGGACATCAAAGGAAAAATTTTACGAGACAATGGAGCTGTAGGGCAGGAAAAATTAAACATGTAACACTTTTAATGAATTCCAGGCATCGATGCTTCATTTTGCAGATGAGCCGCGCTAGATATTTTGGGTCAATACAGTGTCTAAGGTTAGCTTCCACAAATGGCTTGTTTACAAACTCAATTACATTAATATCAATAGTTTACACAATATGGAATTTTAAATTGGATGTAATACCTTTAGTTCCATTTATTAAATTTTACATTAAAATATTTGTTCTGGCAAGCCACCACGCAAATGCTTTACAGGAATTAGCAAGCTGATTTGCAATGAAAGTTAGAGTTTCTGATGGGCAGGGAATTATCCGTGCCAAAAAATACTAGTAATAGTAAAACCAGTAACTTATACAGAGGAATTTCCATCTACTGTTTTTTTTTTATTGTTCTTACTTTTCAAAACTATATTAGAGTGACTGACCTTTCTTAAAACATCTTCTATGCTTTATTGTTACTGAACAATATTTTAAAATTCCTCCTTCATAGGTGACATTCCCAGAAAAGAAACTTGTTGGTGTCCTTTGATTTGCAAATGCATGCATGAATAATACTTGATTTTTTGAGTTCTGTTGGCCTGTTTACCTGATGAAAATTACTACATGGATTTAAGCAAATATCATAGCACTATACTAAACAAAAATAATGAACTTTATATAGAGGCATATTTAGATTATGTTCAGTATGTACATGAATTGTAAAATAGTGCTTTAAAGAGAAAATATTGTTGTCTTTTCTCCACTTGTTTCCTGCTGTAGCCTTGATATAAAAAACTCTAGGTCCTCCATCACTCAGCCCAATTGATTGACTTTGATATGGCTGCCTGATTTAAGGATGCTACTGTGCAAATTTTGTGTAGGTATATTCCATGCCCCAGTGGAGGACCACCCAGTTGATGGAAATCCTTCAGGAACATCTCTTGACATTGTTGCACATTTTCAACTTATTAAGACTTATTAAGATATTCCAGTGAAACTACAATAGAGCTTTGATAAGGCAAAAATATAATTGCACACCTAAGCTGCCATGTTCTTTCTGCATGTAAGATAATGTGTTCAGTTTCATTTTTTGGCTAATGCATGTCATTAAATCAGTTATGATAATAGTTCCATGGGAGGAAACAACTTCTACTCACATTATTTTAAAGAATACTTTTGCAGAAAATTTCACTGATAGAAGATAAAGCTGAATATTTTGAATGTAAACAAAATAGACATTTTCTTTTGGAAACTGCTTCTGATTCCAGTGTTTTTCTGATTTTGAAGGGGACTGAAGACTAGCTGAAGTAAGGAACTACTTGTTATAATGGAGTATAACTCTTACAAAAATGAAAATGTCTTTTAACAGTTACTGAGCCATACAGCTGGGGAAAGCCAAATGTCATGTGTGATATCAGAAGTACTGTAGCTATGGTGGTGTAAGGATATAAGGGAAACAAGGTTTATAGAGGGGGAAAGGTTTTGTGTTAGACAAGCTGAGCGCTGGAACAAGCAACAGCTTTCAGACCAATGGTCCATTCACAACAGCCATCTCTAGCCTGTGTCTAGGTTGAGATTTGTTGTTGAAACCTGTTGAAGGGCTTGGGTGTACACAAGTATGCTTGTTTCCAAATACATATTTTGTTTAACAAAGATGTTACCTTTCACTACAGACTTTGTTTTATTTATTTGAAAGATCAGATGAGAAACTCTGCCATGAAGTTTAGGCAATGATTATTTACTCATCTGTGCTCTTCAAGATCCTGAGATATAGTCATACACATTAAACATTAAGGCTCAGTCTCTGCTATGAGTGGCAGAGATTAATTTCCATGGTGTTTAAATAAATAAAAATCCATTACCCGAGAAAATTTGTATTCCTCTTACTGCCCTGATCTTTTATTTTCACTGGGTTTTTTCATATTAAATCACAGGATTTACTTGTCATTTCAGTTTCATTTTGAAGGCATGATTTGCCAGTGCTTGGCAATGGAGTTGGTTATAATGCAACACATTTTCCTCTGCTAATTTTTTGAGCCCTTAAAGATTATAAATATAGTATGACTACAGCTTCCTTTTTCTTGGTAGCAAGTTGCAGGACTAGATCTTGTTTGCAATTCTAATCACATCTGATTAAATAAGAACTGATAAAGGATACTTGCTGTGAATTTGGGTTTTATAAACCAGGAGCAACATGAGAAGAAAGAGGTTTGTGTATAGTGATCATATATGATACTGACCATAAGCCATTAGCATAGTGCAACTGTGAAAAAGGGACAGACTACATGATAGCAATGTATTTCAGGTGGGAACAGGGCAGTATTAGCATCCTGGTACAAGTCTCTAGTAAGACTGCTTTGGAGTGGTATTTGTGTCACCTTTCTTCAGGGAAAACAAATCTAAATTGGATGGGCAGCAGAGGAGATCTGTTTTAGTGATGAGAATGAAGGATGTCTCCTAAGTGTAGCAACCTTAAGTGCATGGTTTGTTTAGTTCTGTGAAACATCACAGATTGGAAGCAGTCAGATGACTCTTTTATATAAATAAATAAAAGCTCTCAAGAGAAGAATAAAATGTTGGCTAGTGGAAAGTGGTTAGAGCCAGACTAGACACAGAAGAGGTTTCACACAGCCAAGTAGAGGGGGAGTGGATTTTCTGAAAATTGATCAAAGGAAGTGTGAACTCTTGGTGCAAGCTGGGGATGGGGGAATCCCAGATAAACTCAGTACATGAGCTTGTTTGATACAGACCAGGGGAATAAACAGAGGCCATTTAGTACTACCCATGAAGAATGAGAAACTAGTATGTTCTGGGAAAGTTGGCTTTTTTGCTGTAGATATTTTGAAGAACAGGTGGCTTTTTTTTTTTTTTTCTTCTTCTGTAGGTATTTTCAAGAGGAGAAGTGGTTATTTGGATTCAAAGCATAGCTGAAAATATTTTTTACATCTCCCAGTTCTAGCTTCCCCTTAGATTGCTGCAAGTTTTTTAATTGGACTATGTAAGGTTGCTATATAGTATTTTTTTTTAACAATAAAAGAGATAAGCACCATCCAGGTTGTTACTCTGCATATATATAAGCTTTTAATAAAGAATATTATTTTTGTAATGTCAGCAGTTTCTGAAGGCATTAACAGCTTTTTTTGAAGCAGGGTCAGATTTTTTTGAAGCAGGGTATTGCTGGTGTCTGAGAAATCTTTCCTTATTGCTTGATCTTGCATGTGATCTTGAATGTATACCGTGATCTTTTGAATTGTTTCTTTATTGTCACTTGAGTGGTACACAATGATCAGACACAGAGCAGTATGTGGTAACTGTATCTATTGCCTTTGTTTGCAAAGTCATTTTGTTTTGTTTTTTTAAAGAGGAACTATATTTTTTAAATATACGCTAGTAACCACTGCTTAGTATGTTCCCTATATGATTGTTGATGTTTGTTTGTGATGGTGATATTTCTTGTTTGCCTGTTGCACAAGAGATTTTTTCTCTTCATAGCCTTAAGATCAGCTCTGAATTCAATACAAAAAAAAAAAAGACTTTGTTTCAGAAATCCTCAGTAATTCTCAGAAACAATCATATGATTATGAATAAGAAACTTATGAGACAGTTTAAGCCCAGCTCAGACCTCAATTTATATGGATGATATATTCTGCTGCTTTAGAGTCCTTGTCTTACCTGTAAATTATGGTGATAATAGTTCAGTATATTACCAACATGAAACAGAACACCTGTGTGTAAATCTGTTTGTGAGATTCTAGCTACACATTCTTTTTAATAGAAGTAATAAAATAGTTTTTGTAAATTATTTCTTTTCTCTTATAGAAACAGCAGTCACCAAAACCTGATTTGTTTTACAACAGGAGGAAGTTCCCTTATGCCTTATTGTTTGGAGCTTTTCTATTTCTGTGTTTATCTTGATAGATGCATCCATTAACTGTTCAATGGAGAGGTTCTCATAGCAGCACACTTTTCATCTTCCTTTACAAAACAGACTTCCAGAAAGACAAAGTGCCAATTAATTTCCGTAGCTCTCGTATTCCACTTGAACTATAAACTGTGTCGTTTTAATATGTGTGTATATTAATAAGCCACTTAATAAAGAGTATTTATTTCATGTTAAAGTTTTGGGTTTTTTTTTTCTTGAATTCTTTTAGGTACCAAGGATTGGGTCCAACACTGATTGTTTGTCCAACTACTGTGATGCATCAGTGGGTAAAAGAATTCCACACTTGGTGGCCTCCATTTAGGGTTGCCATTCTCCATGAAACTGGTTCTTATACCAACAAAAAGGTAATGACTGACATCCATTTTATAATTCCCAAAGTTTCTCTTTTTTTTTTTCTTTTGCTAGCCAGAAAATAAAAAAAAAATCCTGTTACTGAATGTTTCTGTGCAAGCTTGTGCTCATTCTCTGATTGTTTAAAAAGAGCAAAAGGTTCACTGTCTTGTACAGATTTGCTAGGAAATCAAACAAAAAAGGGGATGACACAGAGTACATTTATATACTGGTATAGACTAATGTTGCCTAAACAAATTAGACATAGTTACAGGTTTCTTGCTTGAGCTTTGGTTGTAATGGTAGAAATTCATGACTAGACTACTTGTATATCAGATATATGGTTCTAGTACTGGTGAATTCTTTCCTCACACTTCCATGTGTCAGTTTGTCATTGGTCTCATATCTAATATATTCTATTTGCACAGGCAATTTTCCTTCAGTTCCCTTCAGCATGTCAATTGGTATCACCTAGTCTCGTTTTCTTTAATGACAGTGTTACTTCGTTGGTCTTCTTTTTTTTCAAGCAGTGCCCTTTCTGTCTTCTATTGTTCTTGGTCAGTCTCTTAATACATGTGTTCTTATTCCATTTCTTAAGTTGACAAGCCTGACTTGTCTGAAGTTTCAATCCTTGGTATATAACAAAGCAAGGAAAACTTAGATTTTTGTTTTCCCTTAGCTTCCTATTTCAGATGCTTAAATGGATTTTTAGGATTGAGCAAAGCATGTTTAAATTTTTCTTTAAATATTTATTTAATTTCTTGTAATAACTTTAAAATGATATGATGCTTAATTGCACTTGATTAAATGTATTCTGAGGTAATTGATGCAGTTACAGTACACTGCAAAAAAAAAGGAATAACATGCTCTAATGTGCTAATAGCTTCCTGTTGTTCAATTAACTTGGGATGTTTTCAAGCCTTAAAAGTGTGTTGACCTCAATAGCATGGTCACATGTCTTCCTAAATTAAATAGCGTGTGCTTATTTTGGGATATTTCTTAATTAATGCACTTGACAAACTGGCTCAAATTTTCCATCTGCAGGAATAGTCAGATTTTCCAGACTTCACCTTCCTGTTGTCCTCCCACAAATGTGTACTCAACAACTTAAAATTAAGGAGTCTGGATACCATATTATCACTTTAGATAGGTTCGGTTCTTTAATTCTGGCCTAATGCCTCATCTTCTGGGAGCTGCAACAATATGCATTAAACAAGTGTCACTGTTGATGTCTTCACCTCATGAACTTTTTTCCTAGATGCCTCTTAATCAGAGAAGAGCAAGTTTATGATTAATAGAGGTCAGAATGGTCTGGAGCAGTGGAAGAACATAATTGTTTCCTAAATTAACTGGACATCAGACGATGAAGATCTTAATGGATTTTGAGGAATGCATTGTCCTGTAGTAGCTGGCCAGCAGGCTGTTCATAGTAAAACACAGTACTGCACCTTGTTCTATACAGGCCTGTGAAAGAGGGACAAATTGTTTCTAAGGAACAGAGAAAGATTAATCTTAAAACTAATGGAAGAATATTGTAGGAAGTGAATTGAGTAATGACAGGTGTCCCATAAGGCAAGAAGTATGTCATAGCAGAAAGAGGCAACAGCTGAAGTTCCATTTGATAAAATTTAGATTGATCTTTTAAGTGAGGTGGATCTACATAATTATTGCTATAACATTGTCAGGAATCCTGAAATACGAGCAAGTACTAAATCTTTGAGTACTTGTGAAATTATATGCTCTTATGGATAGGTATTTTATGTTGCACCTTCTAAGGTACCCAAGCATCAACGCAAGATCCTGCCTCCCAGTTCTTTAGACTTGCCCACAGAAGTATTTGCTTGACAGTGGCTTTATTTTCAAGCAACTTAAGGATTTTCCACAATAGTAGCATAAAATAGTCTGAATTATAAGCACCAGATGGGCTTGAAATCTGGTCCGCTCGTTTCAGATGAGTCATTGAGACATCCTGCTTAGATATCTCTGCTGCCATAGTATTTGTGTAGGTTTTTAGCATATATGATGCTTCAGTTGAGAGACTGCCTTATTCCTTTGCAATAGCAAGTTGGATAGGTTTCCAAGTCTTTAGTTGAAGGCATTTGGATGATATGTAAAACTTGGGGGGTTTGTTATTATTATTTGTGATCACAGAAGATCATTTGGTTCTTCTAAGAGGATAAGTGTGCTTAAGTTAGAAGCAGTAGCAAAAAACAGAATTAAGTAGTAGTCTTTCCTTGTCAAGTCAGCTTTCAGTTTGAACAAAGTACAGCATTTGTGGTTAAATATGTTGTGTGGTGCTGTCTTATGCTGTTAACTTCCTACTATGGTTTACACTCAAGTCTGATGTAGCTTAAAGTGACTTTCAGATGTCAAGTGCTCCAAGATCTCTTAAGGATGAAAGAAAATAAAGTAAATCTAATGTAGTGTATCATAGTGTTTTATTTAAAATATAGAAAAGAAGATAAGGAGAAGAAAGCTCTGTATGTGTAAGAGAAAAAGGCTTCTGTATAAAGAGCTTGTCCTGTTCTTTCCAAACTTCTGATGTGTGAACATTTGTAAATCATACGCTGTAAGAGGCAACATGAACTTTAGCTATCTTGATTTAACACACCACATATAGAAGGAGGCTTTATTTTTTGAGATCAAGGCTGAGCTTTTAATTTCTTGATCTTTAGAACAGGTATCGCTGAATGTAACAATTTTTTCCAGGAGGAATCTTGTACCATTTTTAAAGCCTTAACTTTACATTCTCTTATCCTGGTCAAATTCTGGACACACAGTGCAGCCCTCTGAAGCAGTTGTCAGTTCATGATGCTTGCACTTGTGGAACCATCTATTTGAAGATGACTTTGTGCACTGAAGATTTTAGACCTACTGCCCTCACAGCAGAGTACACAGTCTACATGTAAAGAAAATAAGCTCCAGAGGTTACAATTATTGGCACGTCTACTTATGAAATCTCTGTTTTAGCCAAAGGCTCTATTTGTGAGTTACTTGGATAAACGTAGTATCATGCCACAAGAAGTGTGTTCTTGTTAAATAGGTAGTAAGTGCTTTAGCTCTTTTTATTGCAACTTTTACATTATTAAACATTGTAATGTGTTCTTTTGAAGCCTCTTCATCGTCCCATTTAGATTGTGTTGTTGGGGGCAGGGAAAAAATAAAGAGGTTTTATAGGTTGAATTTATGGATCTCCGGGCTTAATGGTTGGTTATGAGAAGTGATAAGCCTGCTGAAGAGTGCATTTTTGATCCACAAGTGATGGATGGTTGTGTGACTAGATACTGTCTCTGTAAGTTCACACTTGTCTTAAAGGTATCTGAATGTTAAGAGAATTTCACAGTTACCACTAGTCTAGTTCTTTAAGTTCAGTCTTAACATATACATTTCTGTTTAAGGAAATTACCATTTTTTAATACATAGTAGAGAAGAGTTCAGGTTCTTTTAAATATTTTTAAATGACTACCTTATGCTAAAAAAATACAAATGTTATTTCTGTAACTATCAGACAAAAATTGTCTTGTGTTTGTAGCTTCAGAAACAAACTCATAGCTACAGCAAGGTACCAGCAGGGAAAAAAAAAATGCTTAGAGGTGCACCCTTAGAATAAAAGATAAAAGTTTTAGCATTAAGATAGGTGCTTGCCAAAAATCTTACAGTCTTTGTCCATTGCACATCTCAGTGAACACAAGGCAACACTATCAACTTACTACACTAAGTTAGGATAAAATACTGTCCTTGAATTGTAAAGACCTGAAATACTGCACTGAATAGAATTACAAGATCAGAATTACTCCGTCTACTCACATATTACTCTGTTCATCAGCACATTTTAAGGCCAGAGTTCAGTTTTTCAAAGCTAGATAAGAATAACTGCTGTGTAATCTTTTGGCATTGGTACAGTAGTCTCCCTTAAGCCAGTTCCCTTCCTCCTCCCTCTTCTTGGTGTAACACTGCATATCCTGAAATACTTCATTAAAGTGTAGTGTGCATCCAATAATATCCAATCGTGTGTAGTGTGCATCCAATAATAAATGTGTTATTATATTTTAAAATATTCCAAGAGCTGCAACTAAAGCAAAGGCAACCTTGGAGAAAGTACCCAATGCAGTAAAAGGAGAGTTAATGAGTGTTGTAGTGTGAGTTGATAAAACTGTGTTGTTGTATTTCTTCATTGTCAGCACAAATCCTTGTTTATTAAAAATTTAGCTTGAAGGAAACTTTAATTAATTACAGGTTCAGTAAATCCTGACTAGGATTCTGCTGTGGTGTGTTTACAGTGAATGGCCTTCATGTGCCTATGTTTCACTTCTGTTCTCTCTGCTACCTGACAACGTGATTTATGGCTGTTGTTTTCTACTAGTCCACTGTTTGCCCTCTAGGAGGGATTGGTCTCTTGAGCCTCCATAATAACAGCAGCACTTCCACAAAACATCTTTTAATGACAACACTGTAGCATTCTGTAAGTCAGGCTAATTGCAGACATACCCTATTAATTGCAAAAACTAGGAGAGGTTACATATTTTACAAGCTTTTAATTTGAAATCGCCCGAGATGATTTGTCTTAAGTGTTTGGGTAGTGATGGCTACAATATTCTATGATAGGCCATTGCTGAGACTCTAGGACACAGACTGTGGGAAATGGACCAGGTAGAATTAAGCTTTGGATGTCCACACCTGCCTAGAAATCCTACCCTGTAGGATTTTGGTTTTGTTAGTTTTGTTTTCTTTTCTTTTCTTGAAGGTGTTTCTAGTAATATGGTTTTGCCTTTCCTTTAGCAAATTCTGTGGTGTTTCTATATATTTTTTTTGGTTTACATTTGGTATGCTTGTTTCACCCAGAATTGCCTCTCAGTTTAAGTCTTCTAGATTTATATGTGGAGGATAAATGCAACAAAGATGAGTCTTGGATACTGTGAATGCTGTGGAAGGTGATATAGACTGTCCCTGCCCTACATAATTTATAGCTATAAAGGCTAGTAAAACCTTGGAAAAACTATATAGCTTACAAGAATAGCACAAAATTTGAAGATTAATGACAAATATATTAATCCTATTAAGAAGAAACAAGACAGATTTTGTGATTAACCAAATAGATTTTTGTGATTGTTTTTCAGTCTTTTACTTCTTTAATTTTTGTTCAACATTCTAGATCTTGTGTTCAGTAGACAAAGCTGGGTCTGTGAGGTGAATATGGGAGCACTTGAAGAGACTGGTTACTCTAATCAAATTTAATGTTTTGGGTTTTATTCAGCATTGCCTTTAAACAAAATAAAAAAATAAAAAGCACAACAGTGTTTCCTTCTGACCAGGTTCAGGTCAAATTCTGATCTGTTATAACACAGTATTCGAGTGTTTCACTTTTTTAAAGATGAGGTAAGAATCTTATAATCAAAATCTTGCTCATCTGCTTTTTCAAAGCTTCTTGTACATACCTTGGACAGCAAACTTGTAGTTCAGTAGGGTCTGAGTTTTCTGTCTTACTAACAACATACACCTTTTGCTTTTAGGTGAAACTAATTCATGAAATTGCTTCATGCCATGGAGTTTTAATTACATCTTATTCATACATTCGACTGATGCAGGATAACATCCACAGCTATGACTGGCATTATGTGATTCTGGATGAGGGTCACAAAATCCGCAACCCAAATGCTGCAGTCACACTTGCATGCAAGCAGGTACTTCAAAAAAAATAAATGAAAGATTTTAAGTTCTCTGGGGAAGAAGTTCCAAAATCTAATAGCATGTATTATGTTATGATAAAAATACACATTTGAGCATTAAGAAAGAATAAAAGCATAAATCACAGTGGTCTGTATTTGACTATGTATTTAACATTCTTAATGAGTTCACAGCAGTAAATTTACAGAAATATGGTCTAGGAGCATTGTATAGTGTATATGATATATACATATATAGTATGTATGGTATAAGAATATATAAATTGTTTAGTAATTTACCATTAGGGATAAATGTCAGATTGCTGGTGTTCATTTTCTGCTAACAGTTTGTAGAATATATAGCAGAATACTGTTTATTTCAGGAATATGAGGCCACATACTTTAAAACCCTTCATTGATGGTGAAATTTAATATCCTCTGCAGCAGGTTACACCATGAACCGTGAAAATAATTTCTTGTTGGTTTTTCATTTTTTATTCATAGTTTCGTACACCCCATCGAATCATCTTGTCTGGCTCTCCTATGCAAAATAACCTAAAGGAGCTCTGGTCCCTTTTTGACTTTGTGTTCCCAGGAAAACTGGGAACACTACCTGTGTTCATGGAGCAATTTTCTGTTCCAATAACCATGGGAGGATATTCCAATGCCTCTCCAGTCCAGGTAAACACATTAAAAATATCACTTTGCTTGAAGAAGACGTATGCTGTTTCTAAACTGACTTTTCATGTACTTCATGCTGTATGTTCTAGACAGTAACCCCAAAGAGAGTTGCATGTGTGTTTTCCTGCTATGTGTGTACAAAGAACTGTTCAACTACCTGAGGCCATTTTGTCATTTGTGCAAGGATATAGCTTATACACAAGGTTTTCTTATCAGAAGCCCTAAAGTTTAAAACATCAGAAGTATTCTTTGATATAAAGATAAGTAAAATGGGATGAGAGGTGACTGATCTTGTATTTTGATGTATTTAAATAGAACTTCCCTATTTGATATCAAGCTTTGGCAAATTAGGTAACAAAGGAATACTTAAATCCAAACTGAAATCTGTTTTCATGTAAAAAAAAAAAAAGCTAAAGTAGGTATTGGAAGTCTGAAAGTAGATAAACTATTTAATTTCTAAAGCAAAAATTATTTGGACTATTATTTTGAATAAGCTATGTCTATTAGTCTTTGTAGTTGTGGTTCTCAGTATTTGTGACTTCTTAAACATCTTCCAAATTAGCTGATAGATAAATTCTCTGCATAGTAATAAGTTTCATATAAATGCTACTCAAACTGTACCCTTTTAATTATTCTTTGTAAAGTTTTACACACATTCTCTAGTTCTTTGTCTAAAGCTTAGTAGTATGCAAACTTGGACAGCAAATTTGTTTTTTACATATATCAATAATTTATTATATACTTTGTTTTGCTTTAAGAGAAATGAAGGTATTTTTAGCCATTATGTACAGTTAATACCCATCTCACACATCCATTACCCATTATAGAACCATATGCTCCATTTGAGGCCAGGGTGACCTTTAGTTTCTGTGATCATGGGGATTTTCTTGTACTGATTTTTTTTTTTTTAATAGTCTCAAGCGGGCACTAATCTTCACTTAGGGTCTAGTAACCACCATTGCTGCAGGCTTCTTTTTTGATCTTCAGTATATGTGTTAGCAGTTTCTCCATGAGGATTTTGGTTCTGTGCAAGTTTATACTCACTTCTTGTGTTGATTTATAAATAAATATCTCATTTCTGGTCTCTTTTAAAGTCCACTAAATTAGGAAGGATAATCAATGGTATCTGAGAAAGACTAAACTTATTCAGTGTTATTGTGGCTAACATGAATTTTATTGCAACTCATGTATTGAAAGTGTAACTAGATCCACACAAATCGTAAACCATTTCATTTTATTAGGATTTTCCTATTACCAATTATGGAATTTTGCTTGTTGCTAAAATTAATATCAAGAACCAAAATACAACTTTTGCTTTTTCTTCCTTTTTCAGGTAAAAACTGCATACAAATGTGCCTGTGTGTTACGGGACACCATAAACCCCTACTTGCTGCGAAGAATGAAGGCCGACGTGAAAATGAGCCTTTCACTTCCAGATAAAAATGAACAGGTTTGCTGAGCCCTCTTCCTCCCCAAAATCCAGTCTTTCGTGGGCATTTGGAAGTAATATGCTGATAGCAGATAAGATGGTGTTTTAACTAAAGATAACATGTAGAGCTTTCAAGCTGCATATTCTTTTCACCTGCGTTCTGAAATGTACTCAGGTCTGCTTGATCCTGTCCTCCTAGGTCACAGGGACATACAAATGAGTTGTCTGTGGAGTGTTTCCTGTGGTGCACCTCGTGGATGCTTTAACATTGTTTCCTGCTGTAAAAAGATTAATTTGGGCAACAAATAGTAAAGAAATACTTGATGGCAGCTGTTAATATTGCAAGTTAGCTGGGCCTTGTGCATTCTAATAAAATTCAAAAATATTAGCCTTTTGATCTAAAACTTGTTTGCTCCACAAAGAAGTGGGATATTTTTTAGGAAATATTTGATTCAAAGCAGCAGCGGTTGATAGGATTATTTAAAACAAATTAAATTCTTACAAATACTCACTTGCAGTAATTATTATATTCTTCTGCCACTTGGGTTTCAGTGATTTTGTTCCTTTCTAGCCCATAAGACCATGTGAAATAATTGTTATATGCTCACCCTCAAAGGCTAATGACAGAACAGATGATGTTTGCTAAAATTCCCGTGAGGTACTAGCAATTTGCAAGTTGCAAGGGACGCAGCAGGCACACAATGGAAAGCATTTCCTGTGTAGCTTTCAGAGAATGCTAACATTGCACACTTAACTGATTAAAACTGGAAAATGGCAGCCCTTCCAAAACTAAACCAGTTTGTGGGGAAAAATATAACAACAAGGAAAGGACACAGAAAAACTCATGAAACCCATCTTAATTATTATGCTAATTCTCAAAAAAAAATGAAATTTTTAATTATTATTATTATTTCTAATTATTTCTATGCAGTATCTTTTAACGTAGTGTTTAAGTATGTCAGACAACTGTGAAGCTTCATTATAGCCCATTGTAAAACTTTACAACTCACTCTTATTTGGAGTTTACAGGTTGGGCTTGAAGGGTTTGTTTGCTTGTTTGTTTTGGTAGGTCCTCTTTTGCCGTTTGACAGATGAGCAGCGTCGAGTCTATCAAAATTTCATCGACTCTAAAGAAGTTTATCAGATTCTCAATGGAGACATGCAGGTTGGCATTAATTACCATTAATGACAGGTTGAGTTTGAAGGATAAAGTAATGGACTGACCTTTGCATTCTAGCTGGATTCTGAGCAGAAAGGGAAGCAAACGCCCTGATCTCAGTTCTGCTTTTATGGATGTCTGCTTTTTTCTCAGAAATGTTCCATGGAATATGTAGAGTTAGTGATCTATGTGTAGTGTCATGACTAGATTAAAGCATGAATGGAATGGGCTTTGTAGTATGTTTGTGATCTTGGGAACTAATTATGGCTTGTTGGATGACCTGCTGTAGGTAACTATGCACACTTTTATCCAATTGCAAAAGCAAAGCAAAGGAGGAGTGGTTTGCCTTGAGAGCATAGTTCAGGTGTGATAACTGTGTGATGCAACAGCCAATCATTTCATGGAGTCTTAACATGGAGCCGAGCAAATAGCAAGCACCCTTGTTATTGGCTTACTGGTCACTTTGACATCTTTTGCCTCCACCCTCACAACATGAGTAGGAGGATGTCTGTTGCCCTGTGACAATGTTGCACACATCTGGTCCATTTGACTTTTGTATGTATGCAGTGTGTGTTTTTCACTCACATTTCAGCTGCAGGAGACACGTTGTTTATAAAAGGAAAAGTAATGTTTTGGTGATAATGTGTAATTTACCAGTTTCCTTTTCTTGGGAACTGTCAAATCCCTTCTCCCCTCACCCAGGGGCTCAGGTTAGTTGTATAGTTAGTACAGCCATGTATATTGCAGTGCCATACAAAGCAGATGTTGACCTTGTCACTATTTTGACTTTTTTATTTTTCCAGATCTCAAAAAGATGTAGTCGCCAAGATTTTTCAGGTGCCTAGCCATTTTAGTTATCCCAATGAAAATTGTTTTAAGGAGCTTGATCTTCAAAAGATGGCTTGCACAAGACTATCTGTAACAATTTATCTAAGATTTTACAGAATGGGCTATTGTATTTGCTTCTGAAAATGCTGGACAGTAAATGTCAATGCTTTTATTAGAAGTTTTGTGATGACAGCAGTGAATCCCAGCTGAAAAACAAAAACCCCATTGTACAAACAAACCATAAATTACAAGCAGGCTCATCCAACTTGTAATGATAGAAGACTGAGGAATATGCTGTTTCAGGCTAGTTTGTTTTTATGAGTACTCATTATTCAGAAGAATAAATAACGCTTGTAATATTAGTGAATGAATAACTGAGCAGAACCCTTATATGGCTCAAAAAGTGGTAATTTTCAGCTTCATGTTTGTTTAAATACATTTCCTCATCTGTTCTTTGTTACAATGCATTCTGGAGGGTAGACTTGCTATCCTCAACGTCTGTGTTAAGTTACTAACACGGAAGGGGTTGGAAGGAAGGACACAACGTCAAGTAATAAACTTGATGGAATTTTTGAGTAGGAAGAATTTGACTCATTTGCTAATGTGGAAATTGTTGAAGAATTCTTTTAACACTGTGACCAGAACATGCTCACAAGAACAGAAAATTTTATTGACTTTCTCTTGTACTGATTTTTTTTCCTAAAACTTTACTTGAAACTAGTATTAGTGACCGATGGCTTCTCTAAAGAGCAAATCACTATCAAAACCAAACTTCTCCATGATGACTGGATTAATCCATTGCTGTTCATTTTGTTCAGCCACAACCCATATAGATAAAAGTATTTGTCAATAATATTTTTTTTTTTTGTATTCTCTAGATTTTCTCAGGACTAGTAGCTTTGAGAAAGATTTGCAACCACCCTGACCTCTTCTCTGGTGGTCCCAGGATTTTGAAGGGTGTACCAGATGCTGAAGTGGAGGAAACAGATCAGTTTGGATATTGGAAACGTTCTGGAAAAATGATAGTGGTAGAATCCTTGCTGAAAATATGGCACAAGCAAGGTCACAGAGTGTTGTTTTTTACTCAGTCAAGACAGGTAAGATGAGCTATTTGGTTTGTTATTACTAAAACTAAAAAAGTGTGTCTGTATGTCCCAACAAGACTAGTAATTAGAACCACCTTTTGTAGTGCCCTTCTCAGAAAATTAACATCTTATTGAAAAAAATATACCAAAATGACTGATGTCTTTGGGATAAATGAAGAGCAGTTCCCAAGCTCAGTAAGCTTTACTGGAATGATAAAACATTGTGGCAGTGTTGTCCAAATTCAGTATGCTGGGTCAAAGCTTGTGTCAGTTGTATCCATGTAATACTAGACGGAAACAGTAGTGATGTGTTTATTTTCCCTACTGTGTACTTTCAGGATAGAATTGGTAGTCAGTTTGCTTGCTCTCTTTAGTGCATGTGCACATCTAATGCTGAGAATTGTGTGCTTTGGACCACTAGCACAGACAGTGAGCTTCATTTGTTTTCCTGATGTATTCATGAATTTGTCTTGCTCCCATGGATTCCCTTGGAATGCTGCACCATTTACTGGATAATTGTCTTGAGACCATGACTATGGACTTCCCACTGCAGTTAGTAGTAGAAATTCTTATGACTTGATCAGACAGATGCTGAGTTTTCACATCTGGATTTCTTCTCCCTCCCCCATCACAACAGATGTTGCAGATACTTGAAGTCTTTGTGAGAGATAGAAACTATTCTTACCTCAGGATGGATGGCACCACAACAATAGCTTCCAGACAGCCCCTTATAACAAGATTTAATGAGGTGAGATGTTGCATCCTACACACTAATAGTCTATTAGTGAGTATGGTTTAGTTCTTGCATTCCTTTTTGTTCTGTTTTTAAATGTACTTTTTCAGGTTTGAGACACAAAACTGGGAAGTTCAGTCAAATGAAAGCACTGCCTTTGTAAGAGGGGAAAAAAATTCATCACTTGACACTTAGATTGGGGTTTTTCCTAAGAAAAAAGTGCAGTTGAAAAGGGGAAAAGAAATTATATTGAACAAAAATAAATTAAATTTACATCAAACTACTTTTATTTGTCAAAAGACATATCAGGCAAACAGAGAAATGTATTCCTTCTCTTAGCTCCTTTTGCGTCTTTGCAAATAATGCTGATAACAACAGAATCCAGGAAATTAAAAAAAAAAAATCTAGTACTTTTGTAATTCTTGCTTTAATAACTTTTCTCTTGTGTTATAGGACAAATCTATATTTATTTTTCTCCTAACAACTCGTGTTGGTGGCATTGGAGTTAACCTGACTGGTGCTGACCGGGTTATTATTTATGATCCCGACTGGAATCCCAGCACTGACACGCAGGTGGGTTTGGTTCATTACATTCCATTTACCAGCTAAGTTGAAACAAAATTGAAGACAGAATGACATTTATCTTCTCAAGCAGTGCTTAAGCACTATGTTGCTCTTCCCTAAGTTGCTGTTCCCAGCAATAGCTGCTCAGGGTACAGTTCCACATTATGACTGCTCTTGTGGCAAAGCCAGTTTAAGTGGTCCCCACCACATCCCCTTTCTGCTGTTATACCTTACCACTATATGAATTGTTGATCCATACAGCCTCTTTAGAGTGTAGCCCAGCAGTTGAAATTGCTTGGTCTTTTTTAAATAAATAAACAAACAAGATGTTTCTGAAGGGAGAGTACACCTGTGCAAGCTTTTGAACAAGCCTGACTGTTCATGGTGGCAATGCAGGGTAAGAAAAGGAGAACAAGTGTTGCATATATTGGCTTGGCCACTAAATACTGATATGTAGCTATGCCCTCAGAAGATGCTATTAAGCCAATACCTTAAAGAAGTTTTTCTTTATTTGATAGTGTGGTGACACTGACTTATCACATCTCTTAACAGTATATGGGGCTTATATATTTGAGAGGAAAAACCTATTTTTGATGGAAATCCTACATAGCTCTGAGATCTGAAAGTGTTTGGCCAGGTGTAGGGTAGTCTGCTTTTTAGGAGTTGGTTCAAGATGCTTGTAGGGAAGCTTTCATTTAAGAAAAAAGAGTCCAAAGGAAATGCATCTAATAAAGATCAATTGTGAAATAAATCCCTTTTGGAATAAGTCTGTGTGACGTACATGCCCTAGATATGAATTCTAATTTTAACCTGGTTTTTTGAGAGAGGTTTTTTGCATGGATTTCTTGGTACCATTGGAGACTTGTCTTTTTACATATGTAAACTTTCTAAATGGTTTTCCTCTTCTGGTGAGCTAGTTGTCCTAATGCTGTAGAAATATACCACAGGTATATAACTTCTTGAACTACTTGCTCAATGTCCAAATTAGTTAGAAATAGTGCTGTTGATATTTCTCTGTCAAACACGTGTCCAAGAGGCTAAAGTCTGGTAACCAAACCTTTGTGTTTCAGGCTCGGGAACGTGCTTGGAGAATAGGCCAAAAGAAACAGGTGACTGTGTATAGGCTTCTCACTGCAGGTACTATTGAAGAGAAGATATACCACAGGTCAGTCAGAACAATTTCTTGGATACAACCATATGCTCCAGAAAATGTCTGTAGCGAATCTGAGGTGGTGTAACAGTGATGTGCCTGTGCACATGCACACTTACCTTGTCACCCCCACCTTGGTCACAACGGGCGTGTCATGGGAAACTTTTAAAAAACATTTGTGCTGAGAAATAGGTGTTCTAGTATTAGACTCCCAGCTGCCAGGCTGTGCTACTGCCTCTCTAGCTCCAAGACCCCCAGGCTAATATGCCCTTCTCGGTCTGTGCAGGAGCTGTGTCAAATATATCCTGAATTCGCTGTAAATGAGAGAGTATGAGGCACAGACAGGAAAAAAAGAGCCCCTTACCCAGAACATAAGACTCAACAAGTTTGAAATGCAAATTGAAATCATCAAGTTCTTTATATTGTCCTTAGCATATAGAATGATGTATGTGGTACATACATCCATTTACTACTTTGCAAAGCCAGTTTGATTTTATTCCCAAATCATTCCAAAGTGACAGAATTAAGTCTCAAGAACTGCCACTGATACTCACATTATATATTCAAAAATGTGGCTGAAGTGTTAAAGTGCTTGTTGTTTGAAATCTTTTCGGTTTGCTTTCTATTCAGCTTTCTCAGTAGTTATCTTCACTCACATGAATTCCAAAGGAATGTACATGGGAATCCTCTATCTAGACATTACTCTCTAGAACTGGAATATCCTCTTTGAAAATGCAGATGAATGAAAAGCTCTAAATAATGAAATACCCATGCTTATTGAGTGCCTTTTTTAATCTGTTTTACCACATGGACACAAAGCATCCGCTGTTGGTTGGCTTGCGTCCCTCTGGCATACTGCTCTTTGAACAACACTGACCACATCAGGGAAGTGGGCACTAAGGGTCAGGACAGCCATCAGAAATTCACTTATTTCCAGAACAGTGCAGTGGACTTTGAACTTCAAGCAAGCTGTTTTGGTTTTTTTTTCGCCTGTGTTTTCTTCCCTGCAAATATGTGATTGTTCTTGCAGGAAGCTCAGTTAATTCTTTAAAGGCTTCTGATGATTATGCTGCAGTAGCTGGGACCTGTGTTTAAACTTATTTTTTGCCAGCTGGATTTAAAAATAATTTCCCTGCTAAAGTCCAGCAGAGCCAAAACTATGATAAAAACACTTCTTGAGAACTGAATTCCAGCTTGATTTAGGGATGTGGGATTTTGTACAGTGTGGTGGTTTAGCCCCAGGGGGGAGCTGGGCACCACGTGGCCGCTCGCTAACCCCCACCCCCCTCACCGGAGGGAGAAAAGGGAGAAAAATACAAAACCCTGGGGGTTGAGATGAGGAGAATTTAATACAGAAACGCTGAAGGAGCAGCAAACAGCAGCAGTAGCAACAGGT